CTAGCCTCTTCCTTAAAAATTTTTTTTGTTTTTGTAGGTGGACTTATTTGCAAACAACAACAACTTAACTGGTACCGAAGGTGTTGAGTGGGACCCGCGCATTGGGTTTGTGGTTCGATTCCCGACGTATGACCTTGGTACCAACTGCTACTGTCAAGTGGTCATCGACGGGCGAGTGTTCAAGAAAAGAATTTACGCAATCTTCAGAGGCGTGGGTGAGTTGATGTTGAAAAACGGTTTATATTGCTCCCTAGGCACTAAGAAATGGCGCATTATGACCCAATGAAACGACACATGATGGCAGTGAAATAACACGTGAAATGACACATGTCTCAATGAAATGACAAATGAAATGACACTTTTCACAATGAAATGACACATATCAGAATGAAATAACACATGTCTCAGTGAAATGACACATATCACAATGAAGTAACACATGTCTCAGTTCAATGACACGTATCACAATGAAGTGACACATGTCTCAGTGAAATGACGCATATCACAATGAAGTGACACATGTCTCAGTGAAATGACATACATGTATATCGCAATAAAATGACACATATCACAATGAAGTGACATATATGACAATGAAAGGACACATATGACAATAATATGACCCATGATACAATTACCATTTTCTTCTATGTATATCGTATGAAAATAATGGTTCTTTATTTGTATGTATGCCGTTCGCAAAAAAAAGTATGTGATTTGTTCGTATACTGTTAAAAAAATGAGTGTTTTTCCGTTGCTATACATATTTTTCCTTACCTTTGCTTGTCTCCTTTTGCAGAGGACTACATCCCGACACCTTACATAGAACCCAACGGAGTGTTCTTCATCATGGCTGGAGAGACGATGAAGCTGAACTGTTGGGTTCTGGTCGGTCGAGGCTCCATGATCTATCTGGGCATGCAGTATGACCTGAAGGGGGTACGTACATGCGTAGGTCCGATGTTTATGCTTGTGTCAGTGGCTGATTGATTGGCAGCAAGATTCATTCTGTGCTGTTGCGGTTGATTAATCTGTCATAATTTGAGTTGCTTTATTGAGTCGTTTATCCCGTGTTTCTAAAATATTGCCAAACAATTCAACTCTTTCACAAATGAGCTCTACTTCCTATGTACCTTCTACTTTCTGAAAATGTCTAGGTTTTTGGCTGTTACTTGCTTGGTTTGCCTGTTCTCAAGTATTTTTCCACATAATCTTATGAAATCATATTTTATCTCCCCTCACACCACAGGATTTTTGTCAACAACACTTGGAGGGTGAACTTAAAAATTTTTCTCAAGTTGTTGTTTTCAATGGTGATCTTTTTGTTGTTGTGAATGATAATTGTTTAAGACCAAAATTGAGTCGATTTTTCGCCTTTGTCCAAGAAGGCTAGGTGTAGATCTTTCCTACCAGAAGATCAGGGGTGTGGCTGAAAGACAGCAGTAACAAGGGGCCAAGGAGTAGCAGTAGAAAGGCTGCAGAAAGATGTTACACTTTTATTCCGATACGTTTTTACAAGGGTGATTATTTCCTGTATTCCAGAAATCTGACAGGTTTGATGAGACGCTGCCGCTGCGAGAGCAAGAGAGTGGTGGTCAGTATGACGTCATCAACATCGACCTAACAGTGGAGAACGTACAGGTCAACGACAGTGGCTCCTACGTCTGCAACACCAGCTTCGACCTGAAGATGTACGAGGTGGCCCCGGTACAGGTCAACGTCTACGGTACGTTGCGATCAGAATACTGACGTACAAACTGAGGGAGAGTACTGGGAATGGAAGATTAAACTTTTTTGTACGCCCTGGGGTCATTTTGTATCCCCGGGGTGGTATTTTTCACATTTTAGATTACTTCTAGTGTGAGGATCTCTTAGAAACTTTCAGTATTTCTCAAAAAATCATTTTGACAGACTGCTGTGCAAAGCGTACGGATAGGATTAACGAGTAAATTTCCTCATTGAAAGTGATGGCACCGAGTTCCCCAGGTGTATGGACACGATGGTAAAACACGATGTACAGATAGGGTTAATATTTGAGGAGTTGGTTTTTAAGTTTCTTTCATTGAATGATGTAGGTGTTTTTACACCCCCTTCGACACAATTTAGAGCATTCAGGAGGCGGGCTTCCGACCTTGCCTGTCAAGGCCAGCCTGGGCTGAGAGGGATACAGCATCCCTGCAGAAAAATCAAGATACTCAATAAAAATTCTTCCCACTTGGGAATGGAACTTCGGCCTGTTGTATGCTATAGCCAAGCGCTTATCTGCTACAATGCAGACACCGGTACGAGGAGTTCAGCGAAGCTCTGTCATGTGACTAGCTCTATTTGACACAGACGGTGAAACTCTCTTTGAAAATATCTTGTTACTTGTGTGAAGGAACGACATCACTGCTCAAGGGGCATCCCCATAAGCGCTCCGTCCCCTGAAGAAGCACATCTCGAAGTGTGTAGATGCTGACGGTTCCAAGCAATATATTACACTTATATATTTAAGAAAGTCCAGTCTCAAAGTCAATACAAAAGGAGAAAATGTTGATATCAGATGCTGAAGACACCGTTTTGTTTTTTTGTCTCAGAAAAAGACCTTCTGTTGCTTCTAGTGCTATGACTGAAAGTGATCATGGATATCTATAAATAGATAAGATACATTTTTGTTGTTCACACTCACTCATGGGCTCTACCACCTGTTACACACATACTCTCTTACTCATCCTTTCTTCCTCAGACATCTGCACGCATACACACATAATTACTCTGGCTGCTTCTCACACTTTATAGAAGGATCAAACTAGTTAGTAAAATAAGATTTTTAAAAAGGAGTTTATAGACCAGACACATAATTGGTTTTCTGAGAGTAGTCCAACGATACTCTTGTGACATCGCCCCTGCTGGCGGAGCAAAGAATACACCTGCCGTGATACTGCGTGTCGTAAGAGGCGACTAAAAGTGCATAGGTCTGGTCACCCGTAAAAGTGCCAGTTTGCGGAGGGCCAACTACCCAACCAAGTAAAAAACAGTAAGTTACAGAAACACGGACAAACACAGAATTTTATTTTTCGATCTTGGGAGACGGAGGAACTTCTGCATCAGCAGGAACAATGAGGGACAACAAAAAAGTGGGAAGACATGGAATAACATCAAGAGGCTAGCCCAGGATAGAGAAAGGTGGAAGGTGTTTGTCCGTGGCCTATACCCTGGTGCAGGGTGAGAAAGGCAATGATGACACTTGTGACATCTGTTCCCCAGAGAAACCCTTTGTGACCCTGAAGGCCGTGGACGAAGTCCTTATCGCCATGGATACTGACCTGGCCACACTTCTGCGGGTGTTCTGGACGTCGCCGACCGAGCCCGTTGTGGAGTGGTACTTCGACGAGAAGATCATCAACGTAAACACCACCAACGGATGCAGGTACGGATTCTGGGTCTTTATCCCTACAAGTGTCAACGTACAAGTAAATTGGCCGCAAATTTAATTCTGTGGTCTTATGGCTGATTTATGCGGCCATAATTTGAGTCATTATTATTTCTGTTCATTTCTCCTTTTTAAAAATAAACAAACATTTCAACTCCTTCACAATTAATGAGCTCTTTTTTTTTGTTTTCTGAAAATATATAGGTTTACAGCTTTTACTTCCTTGATTTGTTTTCTGTCAAAATGGTAAAGTCTTAAAACGTTCCCTGACTACAAACGCTGTTTGTTAACCTCACGTAGAGGGTTAAAGTCTGCATTGAGCTACTTTTTTTAAAATGCGCTATATAAATGTTATATATTATTATTTTTATTATTATTATGTTGTTGTTGTGTTTCATAGCTTAACAAATTCGCAATCCCTTCCACGTCAGCCAGAATTTTAAGACTCGCACAAACAACGATCATAAGATTTTACGCTACCATTCCTTTTTTCTTTGAACTTTAAGATACTGATTTAATAAATGAGAGGCTAAATTTATATTGAAATTAATAAAGTAAAGAAAGAGGGAATGACAACTTTCTCTACTGCGATGTGACCGATTGATGTAATAGGGGTTAGTGAGACAAACGAAGAAAAGTCAGATTTTTTAGGTCCTAACTCAGAACTTATGTAGCATACTGAAACGAGTAATGAAAGAAAGATATGGTAGGAAAATGACTTACATCTATGGCAATGTATTTTCAGTTGTCAGAGAAAGATAATATGATAAGGAGATAACCTACTTCTTTGACAGTCTATCTCTAGCTATTTGTTAGAGAAAGATAAGATAACAAGAAAATCAACTTTTGCTGTGTATTTTTCAGTTATTTGTCAGAGAAAAGTATGATAAGATTATAGCCAACGTCTTTTGCTGTGTATTTTTCAGTTATTTGTCAACAGAAAATTTGTTCAGGATATAGCCTACATCTTTGGCTGTGTTTTGTCGGTTATATTATGTCGGAGAAAAGTATAATAAGAACTCTTTTGCCATGTCTTTTCAGTTGTCTGTCAGACAAGAGAGATGAGAACTCTCTGGCTGTGGTTTTTTCAGTTATTTGTCAGAGAAAAGTATGATAAGATTATAGCCAACGTCTTTGGCTGTGTTTTTTCAGCTATTTGTCAGAGAAAAGTATGAGAAGATTATAGCCAACGTCTTTGGCTGTGTTTTTTCAGCTATTTGTCAGAAAAAGTATGATAAGATTATAGCCAACGTCTTTGGCTGTGTTTTTTCAGCTATTTGTCAGAAAAAGTATGATAAGATTATAGCCAACGTCTTTGGCTGTGTTTTTTCAGCTATTTGTCAGAAAAAGTATGATAAGATTATAGCCAACGTCTTTGGCTGTGTTTTTTCAGCTATTTGTCAGAAAAAGTATGATAAGATTATAGCCAACGTCTTTGGCTGTGTTTTTTCAGCTATTTGTCAGAAAAAGTATGATAAGAACTCTTTTGCTGTGGGTTTTTTTTCAGTTATTTGTCAGAGAAGGATATGATAAGAATGTATCCAACCTCTTTCGCAGTGTTTTTTCAGTTATTTGTCAACAGAAAATTTGTTTAGAATATAGCCAACATCTTTGGCTGTGTTTTATCGGTTATATTATGTCGGAGAAAAGTATAATAAGAACTCTTTTGCCATGTCTTTTCAGTTATCTGTCAGACAAGAGAGATGAGAACTCTCTGGCTGTGGTTTTTTCAGTTATTTGTCAGAGAAAAGTATGATAAGATTATAGCCAACGTCTTTGGCTGTGTTTTTTCAGTTATTTGTCAGAGAAAAGTATGAGAAGATTATAGCCAACGTCTTTGGCTGTGTTTTTTCAGCTATTTGTCAGAGAAAATTATGAGAAGATTATAGAGAAGATTATAGCCAATGTCTTTGGATGTGTTTTTTCAGTTATCTGTCTGACAAGAGAGACGAGCTTGTGATTCTCAACCCAAAGACGGAGGACAGCGGCATCTACCGAGTCCTGGCGTACGTGGAGGCGGAGAATGGGACGAGGGTCGCGTCCTCCACCGTGGAGATTGAGCTCAAGATTCACGGTGAACAAGAAGAACTATTTTTTTTATTTTTCTCCTTATTTTTTTATTGTAAGTGAGAGAGTTGGTTTTTTTTGTGTTGTAAGTTTTTTGGGTTTTTTTTTTCTTTGTAGTGTAAACTAATATTTGTCAGGTTTTTTTCCTTCTTTTTGTTGCAAGCAAGAACGGTTTTCTTCCTTCTTTTCCTCTCGCTTTGTTTGAAATGTTCAACCTGAAAACGTATTATGATGATTAAGCGTAAGGCAATGAAGCTCTTTGAAAACTTCATTCTTCTTTAAGATGAATGCGTATTTGCAAGCACTGTTTCACATTTTGGACATTTTACTCTGTTTTCATATGCTGTCATATTTTGTTACAACGAAATATTTTGGTCATTGGACAGTGTAAATTATGCTTTAGATTCTTTTTTTTTTCGGAATGCTAAGATTCTGTGCTTGTATGCTTATATTTCAATGCATACATTATATTATAAAAACGTTGTTTGTTACTTCTTATCTATGTCATTGTTTGTACAATTATAAAGGATTGTTGCCTTTTTAATAAATTAAGTAAAAATGAAATGTGGTCGCTGTTAGAAGATATAGCTATTTGTCAACGTGCAGTTTTTGATAAACGAGGTAAAGTTAAATTTCCTTTTCTCCCACAGGTATACCCAATGCCAAAATCTGGGCGAAGTCAGCGGACGCTAACCTTCCAGACGGAATGGTCACGGGTCGCGTCGGTCAGCAGGTCAAGATGACCTGTCTGGTGAAGGGGTACCCGCGTAGCAACGTCACGTGGTTGTATCAGGTAACTGCCGCAGGCTTTGTTTTATTGACCAGCTGTTTAAGTGTACTACCAACACAATTTTTAACAAATGTGGGGCAGAGCACAGGAATCAGGCTCTCGTCAAAATAATCAAAGTGAATTAACTCGCATTTTTCCGTAGGTTTGTGAATTTTTATCAAATTTATGTTTTTTGGCCCAGCACCTTTCATGCCCATTAAAGAACTCTTTTCTGTGTGGATTTTTCTGAAAAGCGTTGATTAAAGGCACAAAAATGTAAATTTTCAGTTACCACGGACTCTTAAGCTAAGGAAATAACTAATCTTCGGCGGCCATTTTCTCACTAATTTTACCTCTGAAAACAGGTGACCCCCCTCCTCCTTCTTTCGCAAATATCTCGACTTGTATTCAAGATAAATTGACATTTTTTTCATCCAAATAAAGCCAACTGAACAAGCTTTAAGATGATACCAATAATTCTACATACCCAAAAATTGATGACAGCCTGATTCCACCTCACTGCCTCACAAATTGTTTTTTATTCATCAATGCCTCTCACCCCTGGCAGGGTATAGGCCACATACAAGCTCCTTCCTCTTATCTCTGTCCTGGGCCGTCCTTCCAAGTGAGCTTCATCTCTCCCATGTCTCTTTCCACACATCTCCTCCATGTTTCCCGTGGCCTACCCCTGCCTCGTGCTCCTTGTGGGTTCCGCTGTTTTTTAATTTGTGATATCAGTTGCATGTGCTCAAGAATTAAAAAAAAAAAGAAGAAATTTCAAGTTCTAAATGGTTGTAATGCTGTCAAGCAGGGATCTATACTATACGAATGCTATATCATTATTATTATTATTATTATTATTATTATTATTATTATTATTATTATTATTATTATTAGGCTATTATTATTATCATTACATTTTTAAAATATTATTATTATTATTATTTTTATTATTATTATTGTCGTTTATTGTTTTGTTTTTAAAAAATTATGATTATTATTTTTATTATGATGACGTTGATGATGATGATGATGATTCTTCTTCTTCTTGGTCTTCTTCTTTTTCTTCTTCTTCTTCTTCTTATTATTATCATCATCATTTGTTGCAGCCGTGCCAGACGACAGAATGTGAGCTGAGCGCAGACAACTCCACGTGGCAAGAGATCAACAGCACAGAGGCGGACATGCAGGTGGTGACCAACCAGTTCAACCAGCAGCTGTACCGCCTGTACATCCAGCCGCAGGGCACCGGGTACTTCAAGTGTCACGCCGAGAACTCACACGGGCAGCACAGCGAGACGCTCAAGTTTATTGCCACAGGTCAGGGATGAGGGAGAGGAAGGGAAGAAGAGACGGAGGGAAAAATAATTTTTAAAGAAAAATTGCGAGACATCATGGTGAATTCCGGCGCTCGTCAAAATAATGAAATAGAAGAAAAAGACATTTTCCACCAGTTTTCCAATTTTTATTGAAATTTGGTTTTTTGGCTAAACACCTTTTATGCTCTTATCAAAATCCATTTCCATGTACATTTTACTGAAAAACGTTGTTAAAAGACACAAAATATGTAATTTTCAGTTTCTAAGGACTCTTGAGCTATTGAAGTTACCAAACTTTGGCGGCCATTTTCTTATTAATTTTACCGCTGAAACCAGACTACCTCAACTCCTCCAATCGCAAATATCTCGGCTTCTATTTAGGCTAGATGGATATTTTTTCCATCGAAAGCAACGCAAATGAATAATCTTTCAGATGGTATCAATGACTCCAAATGCCATAAAATTGACGAGCGCCTGATTCCACCGCGTCGTGACACAATTGGTAAATAGAAAGAAAATTGAAGAAGACGAGTGGAAAGGCAACTTTATATCTCGCCTGACGACAATTTCACAATGAATGCGCTTTTTCCTTAACCTTCCTAGTATTGATGGATGATTTTTTCTAAAATCTGCCCTAAGTTTTATGCAGTGGTTTTGCAACCAAAGAACTCAGCTGTGATTTGATTGGCTATTTGTTTTGTTTTTCATTTCTTTATTTACATCGTCAAACACTTCAGCACTGGCGTCCAAGGTTGGTCAACGAAACTTACGACGAAACAAACTTGTTGTATATATATTAAGTATTACCAATATTTGTTTAAATTAATTTTCAGAGATGGCTGGAGGGTACCACTGGTAAATCTTTTCTTTCTTTTTTTTTCTTCTCCTTTCTATTTTGTTGCTCTTTTTTGGGTTTTTTTCTTTCTTTCTATTTTGTTGCTCTTTTTTTGGGTTTTTTTCTTTCTTTCTATTTTGTTGCTCTTTTTTTGGGTTTTTTTCTTTCTTTCTATTTTGTTGCTCTTTTTGGGGTTTTTTT